TCAAATAAAAACTTGCCCCATTTGTGTAAACCGTGTAAACCAATCCCATCCGTTCATTTTCTTGATCAATGGCTAAGATTAGTTTACTTTATTTTAGGAAATTAAAAAATAAAAAATATTAAAAAATTATTTTATTTCAATGATAAGGACAAATTGGTAAACAAAAGTTAACATCAATATAACATTAATTYCATAAACAAAAGTTAACATCAATATAACATTAATTGCATAAACAAAAGTTAACATCAATATAATATTAATTCCATAAACAAAAGTTAACATTAATATAACATCAATGAACCATTTTATAATGAAACCTTTTCACATTAACATTAATTCCATAAAGAACAAAATATAACATGCACCCGTTTCATCATATATTTATTTCATAAAAGAACACAATACATTACGCACCTGTTTCATTTTCATCCTACCAACTAAACGGATCAACTTCAATCACAAAGCAACATGGATCATCATGAACCTAGATGTACATTTAATCACAAAGCAACAAGGATAACCATGAAACTTCAATTACAAAACACCTATTTCATTAACACGTATAATATGCATAGACGGAGCAAATAAACCATTTTACAATGAAACATTTTCACATTGAAACAGTTTCATGACCATTGTTTTTTGAACTTTGTTTATGAAACTATTCATTACAATATTTTCATTAGGAAATARAGAGATTATATTRTTTCGATTTTTCAACTGTTTTGAAACGTTTGATGAAAYYGTTGCATCAATAGTTCATTTTCCTTATTCCACTTATATGAACATGATTCATCATTATGAACCTTTTCATTATGAAACAGTTTCATGAAACCTTTTCATYAAAGTGGATAATATGCCTAGAGTATTAATTTGGACAATATGCCTAGAGTATTAGATCATGAACATACTTCATCATTATGAACCTTTTCATTATGAAACAGTTTCATGAAATTTACCCCATATGAACCTTTTCATTATGAAACAGTTTCATTATGAAACATTTTCATTATGCATTTAATATAATATGCAACCGTATATTCGTAATGAAACCTTTTCATATGAACATTAATATATTATGCTATGGTAATATGAAACCTTTTCATTTTAAAACATTTTCATATGAACATTAATATATTATGCTATGGTAATATGAAACATTTTCATTTTAAAACCTTTTCATATGAAACAGGTTCATAACCGGTAATTTTTGATACAATTAACCTCAAATCATTCATTCATTACATAACAAGATAAAATCTTCATGAATGTTTTCAGCTTCATTGAATAAAAAAAAAAACAAATCAATTTTTAATATTATAAAATATTAAAATCTTTAAATCATTTCATTTATATAATTTCCATTATTAAATTTCCTTATTTAATATTCCTTAATAACTTCCTTATTTATAAAAAAATAATGAAAATGACCAAAGTGACCTTATTGATTAAATTTAATTAAAAAAGAATGGAATTTTCTTATTGGTTGATTTTGGTTTACACGGTTTTTTAGAATGACATGGTTTTCATTTGAACCTGCCCCTATATATATATGGAAGATGACAAGGTTCATTCATTATCATCATTGTTTTAAATTAAGAAAATTAAATAAAATGAGATATTTATTAGATTAAATGGACGTCTAAGATTGTTTGTATGGTTTGTTAGAATCGGATGTTTGTAAATGAAATGTCCCCTATATATATTGTATACACACACACACACACACACATATATATATATATATATATATATATATGTGTGTGTGTGTGTATGTATAGGAGAATCAAACAAGAATGCTAACCATTTAAAAAAATAAAAAACGGAGAATTCACGTGCAAAATCACATGTGATTTTACATTAATGACCAAAGATATGTGTGCAAACGCCTTTTACACTAACATCACGTATAAAATCACATGTGATTCGACCATTTTATTATTCTCTTAAATTGGTATCATTTCCGTTTAGACCCAACTCTCTTTCTGTATAGAGAGGACAAGATTCCCATTACAAATCACCTAAAACTAACAAACCATGCAAACTGTCATCCAAGTGTTAATTAGGGAAATAATTTTTTATAATCATGATTGCTAAAAGGCTAGTTTAGACATTCAGGCTTAAATTGTTTTCTTCCTCCAATTATCACGAAACGGATGTCATGGGATTGAATCAATTTGGATTTTCTTTAAATCTGTTAATTTAAAAAAAAATGATTTTTTTTTATTAATTTGGATATCCAACATGTTATGCGAGTCGACTGATGACCACCTGCTTTGCAGATAGCCCAGAGTCACCGCATTTGAACCTCTGTGGCCACAAGGAGATTTTTATTCCTCCTTGAATTTTGAACCTGAGACCTCATGGTACTTTTTTGTAGCATGTGCTTGTTGCCGAGTTTAGTTTTTTTTGTATTTATTAAAGATGGATTCCGTGATATTAGTAACGAGATATACGTTTTTTATTATGGGGTTCATCGTCCGTGTTGCAGTCAAAGAATAATGAAGGCGACATAGACGTGCTCTATCAGATGAAAAAGGTATATTTTATATTTGTTTCTTTAATTACAGTATTATATTTTATTGGACTTTAATATAAGTATAACTATTTAACAAATTATATAAAATAATTAAAATTTTGTATTAATTTATTATCATAAAATAAATATTTAAAACATTATTATAAATAATGTTATGATTCTGTACGATTTCGTTTGATTTAATTTTCCTTTAAACCCCACACAAAACGACATCGTAGTATTTATAATATTATCTCGAATGTAAAATCAAAATCCGTTGTAGTCTAGTTGGTTAGGATACTCGGCTCTCACCCGAGAGACCCGGGTTCAAGTCCCGGCAACGGAACTCCTTTTTAGGTTTCAATCTAAACCCTAAATCTTGATCTTTACAAATTTTAAACCAAACCCTAACCTTTCCAATTCTCGATTTTTTTGACGATCCTTTCTCGAACCCAATCGTCTAATCGGCGGTCACCTTATTTCTTTCAGGTAGGTATCTCTGCATCTGCATCTGCATCTGCATCTGTGTTCTGTGACTCTGTTTTTTTTATAACTTTGATTCTGATTTATCATCTATGTGGAAATTGGAATGGGAGGTTGATTTATGTGAACAAGTGGGTAGAGGTTACTGACTTTGATTTATGCTATATCGAGTATAGTTGTTTGGATCTTTAATGAGTTCATGTTGAAGGATTTTAGATGTTGGTTTGGGTACCCAATTGTGTAAGCTTCGTTTTCTTCAGTTTCTTGGTTCAATCTTAACTAAAATTGAACCAAAACAAATGAAGACGAATCAAAGAGGTCATTGAAAATTGTTTGAAATGTTTTTCTTCTCATTTAAAATGCATAAAATCACTACAAATATATAGACAAAGAGGGGTCATCAAAGGAAACAAAATTTTCACATATATTTCGTAAATTATCATTTAGCAATCTTAAATAACTTTGACAAATCGAATTGTGATTTGTGAATCATGGTTGCATCCTAATTTGGCGACAGACCATAAAATCACAAAATTTTAAGCTAAAGTGCACCTATTGTAGGTGCCAAAACTCTAATACATGATTAAATATCTTCTTGTAGAAGAACAATGAATAGCAAATTAATTTTTGTGTATTTACACTAGGCTCACCCTTACCTAATATCCTGGTTCTGTTGATTATTGTATGTTATTCACGATTCAGAAATATCTGATAATATTATTATCTGAGTAGTTTTAGATTCTAGTTGTCTGGAGAATCATGAAGACCATGAGCGAGTTTAGATATATTTCTATCTGGGAATAACAGTGTCTCAACAGCAATTCTCACTACAAGGAAAGGATGAGTTGTACTTTTGATTTTTGATGTGATGTTTGGTACTTCTGAAATGAAAACCTACTTTTTGAAGTGAAGGTTAACATCTTTCAGGTTTGGGGGGGAGGGGGGCAGAGGGTGGCAATTTAGGCTGGGATGTGTTTTCGTCTTCCTTGCTCTGTATGGGTTTGACCTTATCTAACAACCTTCAGTATGCTTGCAATGTACCTATTTGTTACTTCTGTTACTTATTTTTCCTGTTCTTTCTTCACCATCTGCTAATCTTAATTAAGGCTGGGAGGTGTTTTGTCTTAACTGACATAAGCAGTCGTTCTGTTATCTGGGTAGAGGTCAGGTGCGCCTACATCTCACCCCCACACACCCTACTTCGACTAGGGTTTAGTAGGTGTGTTTGGTTTAGTTTATCTTTCAGTTTGCAGCACTTGCTATGTTTAGAGTAGTTTCCAGTTCCCTTGTAGAAGATAAGAGTCCATGAGCAGCCTTTTCTAGGTCATCTGGTGTGGGATGAAACTTTAGTTCTCATGTCGGAATGAGGCTAGGTGCTATAAATCTCTTTTTAGAGGTCAGAATCATTGGTCAGAAGGTCTAAAACTTGAACGGAAGATGTTTGGGGGGTGTTTTGCATGGACCTTATGGAATAATTGGGCCAAAAGGCCCCATAAAATGGTATAAAAAATCCATCTATTTATGATTTATGAAGTTAAAAACCCCCTAGTAAAGTTAATGCGTAGTTCACGAGGCATAAATTTTGAATTCCTTCAATGTTTAAAATATTATAAATTATTGAATAGCCATGAGGTGATGAGGGTGATAACATGTTTATAGGTTTACACATCTTTCACCAAAATTAGGACATGGATGGACTTGATATGTTGAGGTACACTTGACAGGTTTGGTTGTAAGCGAAGAAATTCAGAATATTCTTCTTGAATTTGAATGTAGTTTACATAGTCCTTTCAGGCAGTGGCCGTTTAGTCCATGGTCTATTGGATGGTCTGTGCAAGGCCAGAAATTGGAACACATTGATTCYGCTCGTTCCCGTCCTTCGCTTCAGGGCCTGTCCCTCGGTGTGGTCAGTACTCCATACTGTCGGGCAGCGAAGCTTACACTTGTTCACTAATTATGGCGGTTCGCCAGGGCCTCTTTCCTCCTCCCTTTTCTGCCCACTCGTAGGGGTCCAGATCCCACAAAGGGAGAGGGAGTTGATTGAACATCTCAGCCATTGGCGATTTGGCGGGATCTAATATTCAACGGAGTAGGTCCTCTATTTAGGCCCCATAATTTGTAGCAAAATCCTACAAAACAGGAAATTACTAGCTAACCTTTCTATCTTATACATTACATTACTCCTCCAGTCCCAAAATAAGGATAAGTTTCTATGTTAGTTTGTCCAAAAATAAGTGTTCGCTTTCAAAAGTAAGTGCCTACCTTCCAATTTCACCCTTAAGTATGGGATGGAGAAATTAATTAATCCCTCTATTATCAAGGGTAAATTTGTTGTTTAGTTAATTAAAAGGTGTAACAATTACACGTTTCTGAAACTGTGTGCCCTTCCATTGTGAACATTTATTTTGGGACAGAGGAAGTAATTAAGAAATAAATTCTCTTATATTTATTTACAAGGAAACTCACATATCTCAATACTCCCTCTTAAGCTTGGTTGTATATGTTATACAAGCAAAGCTTGGAATTCAGATAATAGAAATTGTTAAGCTTTGGTGATGGTATCCGCAATCTGTAGTCTTGGAGGAACACAACTGAGTTCATTGATCTCAGTGTTGACTAACTTCATTGTCTCTTTAACACAATTACGTAGCAAGGATCCAGAAGATTCCATCAAGTTCGGGAAATTTCGTTGATGAGTAGAACTTGAGAAATAAAACTGATTACAGCCTGCTCATTTTTTTCCAGAATACTGATTAAACAGCAAGGACCATTAATGCGTAGACCTCCGCTTAGGCAGCTCTAAGTGGGAATTTTTTAGAACACTGTTTGGTATTTTGAACTGGGTTTAAAATGTGTATTGTTTTGATGTAAATTATTTGTCTTTGTTTTTCTTTTAATAAACTGGTCTGGCCTTCCATCTAATCCATAATAGATTCCGGCCACAAAATCAGGCATAAGATACTAGATTACCTAGCAGGAAAGATTTTAAATGGGATGACAGTCTCTCATTTTGAAACTGATAAACAAAAAAGGAAGTGAGTTAGACAAAAAAGCAAAGTTTTCGTGTTGTTGATTCCTAAGTTAGAGCTTCTGGAGTTAATATGAATAGTGATAGAGGTTAGGTTTGTGTACATCTTACCCCTCCCAGACCCCACCTCCAGGTGGGATATATTGGGGTCCTTTGGGTTTTGTTCTCCATTTTGTATATCGTGTCCTCGTTTCTCCTTGTCTCACGGCAGATGGGGACTTGCAATCAAATCTTTATTTATTTTCATGTGGTCTTGTGGATCCCATCTCAATTTCTTCTCTTATTCGGTAAATAAGACCCATAATCATATATATTTTTTATTTCTTCTCACTATGTAAATAGGACCTGCAAAATGAAAATGCCAATTTTGACATTGGACCTTGGTTCTTCAAGCATTATGATTGCATGATATATTCATACTCTTGGAACAAGGTCCTACGATTGCCGTTTAACAAGACTGAATGCATTGATTTTCAGGTCCAAAAAACGTTATTGTTATCCCCCATAAGATTAGTTCGTAATCATCGTTATGGAAGATAATGGCGCAACTTCTCTCGTTCTTAAAAATGTCAACGCCAAGCAAAAGCAGGATCAAGATATACTTTCTGCTGAAGATTTAGCCTGGGCAGACTCCTGCCTGATTGAAGATCCCGAAATATCAGAAACTAATATGGATTCTTTAAAAGAAGCTTTACTCGATATTCTTGGGATCCTTGGCCCTTCTGCAAACGAACGCCATGACTCAAATGACGCAACTGACCCTGAGAATTTCCCAGTAGTCATAGAGGAAGGAACCTCAGATACCACAGACACAAATATGGATGAGCATCCAGAAGATGAAATCCCTGATATGTTATCTTCATTAAAGCAACCTTTTCTTCCGAATTATAATGATGAGATGATGAACGTTCAGTATTCTGATTCCGATCATGATGATGATGATGATGATGATGCGGGTTTTGTGATGGAACCGCCATCCGGGGATATTTTTAAGGTCTGGGATTTAGACATCCCAGTTGAAGAAGATGGACTTGTGAAACAATTGAAGGATGCACTTTCTTCAAATGCAGCCACTGGAATCAAGGGTTTGAAAGTGGAATCACTTGATAGTCTTGTCGAGAGCATTGCAGATCTTTCTTTGAAGTAATTAGAGTGTTGGTTGTCAGTTAAAATTAGCAGGAAAGATGGTCATCTATGAGGCACTTGGATATAAATAATAAATGTCACATGGGTAAATTGCATGAAAATGCAAATATGTACAATGATCTTATTCTTATTTTGGATAACGTACTTTTAAAATTTTCATTTTTGGTACTTCAAATTTGACATCTTAAATGTTAAGGTACCTAATTTACATTTGATAATGCATGAAAATACAATGTACTTTGATTTGATTCTTATTTTGTGTAACGTTGTTGGTCTAAATGTTTGAAATATCATATCTAAGATACCAAAATGAATATTTGAAAGAATGTTATACGAAATAAGAATTGGACTTGTGAAGAATTGCATTTTCATGCAATCTGTTGATATATTTTGTTTCGTGTGTAGTATGTTAATATGTTGGTCGATTCTTATCATCACCCTAGTAAGAGTCGTCACTCTCACTTACCGGGTAAGACTCTCCATTCTTATCATCGTTCTTACTGGGTAAGATTCTTGGCTCTTACCATGTTCATCCAGTGAGAAAAATTGCCCAGTAAGTACTTATTAGGTAAGCGTTTAGTAAACGACTCCTAAGTCATGAAATTTATTATAAGTTGTTACATAAAAGGTTTGATTTAAAAATACATTCTTAATGTCGATAGTCGAATATTATTTTTGACTTGGGTTGAGATAATACGATAACAATTAAACACATGAACGGATTAATATCAGATAGAGATGGGCAAATAGGTAACATATACTGATATACAGTCATTGACAGAAGTAGTCGGTTGTGTTGATCCCCTGTTCCCGTTATAACTGGTTATGGCTTCCAAAATGTAGGATTGGTCGTAATTGTTTTAAGGACTTGGGTAATGAGTTAACCGTGATCGGTTAATTACGGAAGCATGATTTATAGGTTGAGATTGAGTTTCTCCCGCAGCAACAGAGTGTTTCACATCACTAGAAATAGGGTGAGGAGATGGAGGAAGATGACATTTTGGGGTGTTCTATGTGACGGATCCATGAACTTTTCTGAGCGAGTGTACTTCTAAGGTCGATTAAATACATGTAAGATCACATTTCAACCCAGGGAAATTTCAACTGTGTCTATTTGATACACTAAAATTTTTACAAATGGAATCATCCTTGACTTATGAACAAAACGCAAGACTACGTCTTACACCTGCCATGTTTTGGGCTGAATTCCACCTTTGCAGGGGACTTTTTCCGGTTTTCTGGTGGATTTCGTGATGGGCAACATATACAACAACAAAATATAATTTTTATCAGTTTCTTAGAGAAACCTGTTCAACGACACCAGATACAAAGGAATAATAATTGATTTTCAAGATTTTTAAAAATAAAAACTAATTCAAAGTACCTATTAAACGTGATTACTTTTATTTCTTTTTCAATTTATTCCAAATAAACATGTGTTGTCATAAAAATGAGACAAAAAAAAACAACTGTAAGAATAATGGATAAAACCGTAAGAAAAAACATTCAAAAAAAATAAAATAAAAGCATTACAATTTATTCCAACCATTACAACGACCTCACATTTCTGTTTAAAATATAAGAGCACTTTTCAAAATTAAGCGGGTGCACAGTTACATCGGGTAAACAAGTTTCATTATGACGGGATGAATTTAAGATTAATGAGTAAATTGGAAGAAAAATATTTAAAAAAATAAAATAAAAGCAAGATTGCGACAATTGTAAATAGAAACTAGCTGTAGTTGATCGGTAGGAATTTTTTTTTATTTTATGGTTAAGGTTTCGAGTTCAATTCTTTTGTTGCATATTTGTTTGCCATTTCTTAGTAACTGAAATTTAAAATATAAAAACCTAGAATTTATCGTCAACAAGATTCAAATCCGTGACCTTAAAAATGCAAGTAGCAACCACAAGAATGGTGCCTGATTGGCTTGGCTCAAAAGGTCAGAAGTACCAGGAGATCTCAGGTTCAAATACAAGGAGGAATAAAAATCCCCTTATGGCCACGGATGTTCAAATGGCGGTGACTTCGGGCTATCTGCAAAGCAGGTGGTCGTCCTGAGATTAGTCGGCTCGCATAGCGGTTTGGATATCCAGGTTAATCAACAACAAAAATATGCAAGTAGCACACCAACCATTCCAAACAACCTTACACTCTTGTTTTAAGTTTTGGTTGAAACATATAAGATCACACTTCAAAATTAAGCGAGTGCACATATACAACTGATGAAAAATTCCCATCACGACAGTACAATCGAGCAGGGGCCCGTGCACCCCCTACTTTGTGAGTTGATGGCAGAAATTTGGAAGTCATCAATCTGGTTGCACCTCAACTTTAGAATCTCACTATGATTAATTGCTCAACCAAGACCCCGCCCGATTTCATCGCCAGGACTTTCAACCTTGTCCTACAGAGGTTATCGTCCTCCACAATTTTCTAAAGAGGGTTTCATTCTCTTAACAAAGCGTCCATAAAACAACACCGACTCTCATCAACCCATCCACCAAAAGCATAGTCTTTGACTCTTTGTAGCAATCACTACTGTCAGCACAAAGAATGCCGACGAAACTAGGCACATCACCACAGTCGGGGGAACCCCGGTGGCACCCTATAGGGTCGTTTCAGTGTGAAAACATACAAATCATGCAAACTCCAACAACATCGCTAAGTGGTAGCCCACATCTTTAATTTTATAAGAAACTCACAAATATAGTTTTTTTTTATCCATATGATACTGGTTGTCATATTTTATGATACTGGTTGTCATATTTTATGTCAACAACTAGCGAATGAATGAATAATATATTTTTATAATGATCAAGGCAAAACAACAAGGATTGTGACTTATATTCCTCTATGCTTACAAATCAGATATATTGTGAGTCCGTTCAAATAAGAAGACTTCCTTATTATTTTATTTCTTTTCCACAAACAATTAATTGCTTTTATTCTAAATTAAATAGAAATAATTTTATTTTCAGTAGTTTCGAGAATAAGTGTTATATTCATTTAGGGGTTGTTTACCGAACTCTTACCCGGTAAGCGCTTGTCGGTAAAATTTAACACTAACATTTACTTATCGGGTAAGATTTTAGTCCACCAAAACAATATTATATGCAACAATTTACTCGGTAAGCTCTTACCGTGGTAAGAGTCATCACCCTCACTTACAGGGTAAGACTTTTGATCATTGTCTCGCTCTTACCCGGTAAGATTCTTGATCCTTACCATATTCATCGTGTAAGGTAATGTGACTTGGTGTTCACTTACCCGAGTAAGCGTTTGGTAAACGACCCATTAGTTACATAATTTCATTACAATTATATATATTATTATTAGTTACATAATTTCATTACAATTATATATATTACTTAAACACAATGTTAAATTCATCACCTTCCCATGAGTTCACCAATTCAAGAATAATCTTTTTTTTAAGTATATAATATTTATATACGGCAAATGCAACAAATAAACTTATACACCCTCTTCACTTATGGCGATGTTTGAACCCCTGACCTCCTAGAAGGCCAAGGGCTACGATACCGCTAGGCCAAAGGCCCTTTAGTAATTCAAGAATAATCTTGGTTTACAAGTAATGACACTTTAAAAAAAAAATACTCATTTTCATGAAATGCCTCCAAATATGTAAAATGAATTAACGAGAGAGGGAGAAACAGATATGGTCGAAACAACATTACTCCTATGCAATGCGCATCCAATGTGACCCTGAGTTGCGCACGTGTGTTGGAGTTCACTCCCCCCCCTCCAAATTTCCAAAGTTTCTGCCTATAGTCCCCGAGCACGAAGACATTTTCAGGGGCGTGAAACTTTCAAAATTTCCAGGTTTTTCATCGTTAAATTTTTTTCCAAACACCAACCACTCAAGATTCAATCTAAGGTTAATTTCTAAGATACTTATTTATTTAAAACCCGAAATATATGTACCAAAATTACCAGGTGTCATGTATGAATGTTCTTAAATTGAAAACGATGAAGGCGAAGATACAGAAGATGGATAAAAAGATCAAAATGCTTCTCATGTGAGAAACACATGATTAATTTAAATGGACACTAAGCTAATAGTGTTAACTCAAGGGACGATTTTGAAATTTATAAAACATGAAATAAGGACCATTGATGTAATTAATGATTTCTAAGAACCAAAACCAACAAATAGTAATAATACAGGGACCAAAGGTGTAATTCACTCTATTATTAAATGGACCGGGCCAACCCTATTATTGGGCTTTTCTTCGCGATGATCGTGATTCGTGAAAGTAAAAAAACTTGAATACGACCGACGTCATCTCTTGCGATTCGATCTGGTCTGCTAAAACACATAGTCGAAGGGTAAATCGTGTGTGTAAGTGTGTGAGGGAGAATCAGTGATGAGCGGAGCAGCGTCGTATCTGGCGAGGAGGGCAGCGCAGAAGGAGAGAGTCAGAATCCTCTACCGGCGTGCCCTCAAAGACACTCTCACTTGGGCTGTTCACCGCCATCTCTTCTACCCCGATGTATTTCTCCGTCAATCTTCTAGGGTTTTATCATTTTAGATTCATTCGATCTCTTATCATTTATATCTTTGATTTGGTTTTATTGCAAATATTTCAGGCCGATGCGCTTCGTGAGAGATTTGATGCTAACAAGAATGTGGTTCGTTTCTCCTTTGACTTTTGTTATACATTAAAAATTTCCCTATTTCTGTCTGCATTAGAGTGAGCGATTGTTGTTTTTATAAAACCCTAAATGCTTAAAAAAGCTACAATATCTGGAATAGTTGCGAGGAGTTGGAGATGAGCACAAAAGATTTGCTTATATGTTTTCATGCTTTGGTGTCGACAAGGGAGTTTGTGTCTTGCTTCCATTTAGAGTCATTGATTAGTGTATGATTTGTTAGGAAATTCTGAATTAGATCCTTTTGCAGCTGGGGGCCTCGGCTTAATGTTTGTAATACACAATTCTATTTGTATAGTTTCCTACAGGGTATTTTGAGCATACTATCCAAGTATCCATGAACATGGTATTTCCTTTTGCACCACATTAGCATAATAATGCGTTTCTTAAAGGTTGAAAGGAACAGTGGGTCTTTCCTGTTCTTGTCACATGACATCTCATCAATTTGTGAAGGCTAGTAGAGGATGCAAGATCTCAATTTATCCATTCTGCATCACATTTTTAGTATGAAAGTGCATAATAGTTAAGAAGTTGATGGATCTAAGTCTAGGAAGGTATGTTAGCTACGTGCCTATGTCCAATTGTAATATAGGTTGTTATAATACTTTTTGTAAGGGATTTACAGCATTGTAAGCCCGAAAGAAATTAGAATTTAGAAGCACACATTACTGAATAATCTCCTGGCCAAACCAGTAATCATTGTGTATCAAACAGAACCTATCGTCTACGAAGATCTTGTTTTTGAGTTGATTTCCATTCAGTTTTCTACCCATTGACCTTGCATCGTGTAACATACCATAACAAACCTGATGTGAGATTGTGGTGCTAGGTCACTGATGATGTTGTTCTGCACCATTTTTGTTGCTTATATTGTGTTTCAAGGATAAATAGCTGATAAAAATCAGTAAGAAAATGTAGGTATTTGTATATATCAGGACCACTTATATATTGGTATGGTTGGAGTATGTTTCATCATTGCTCATGTGGTCGTTCCATGATTGTAATGCTGTCGCTTTGGCATCATGGCAATAGGCATATGCCATGGCAGTTCTCACCTTGAGAAAAAATAGGGGCCCCATATTACCCTGTCCTTCTTTCGGTTGGCACTGAACAACTATTAGTAATCCTATTATTACCAGTGGTTTTGGGCACTTACCATTACCAGAGAGGCAACATTTTCCACCTCATGGCTTTGTAGCAGACTAGCAGGTCTTCTATACCACTCACATTTTGGATGTATAATATGGCCACATGCATGCGGTATGTGTTCGACATGGTTCTCTAGTGTTAGGCCGTGCTTGTTGTTTTGGAATCCCCAACACTGAATGATAAATGGAAAGCAAAAGAAAGGGGTTTAATTGCTAGCATGTTTAAAGAAAAATATGGAATCTGAATAACCAGAAGATAAACGAGGGACTTAAATGCTAACATGTTCTACTCTTGATGTTCAGTTGAGACCCAAATAACAATAGCAAGTGTACAGATTGTGAAGGACATACATGACCTCTGTCTGTGCATTAAGCAACTTTGGTGGGACGTACGGTAAATTGGTAATTGAAGAAATCAAAGCTCATCAAGAGAGGGCCAGATGATAGGGACTGGCTGAATTACAGGAGAAGGATATCATAATTGAAACTTGAAACATGGATTATATAACATGTCTTGCAGTTGAATTATAGCATAATTAATACCTGTACATCTACTATAATAATATGGTCTAGGGAAGGGAAAAAAAGAACTATGAGCATGTCTTTTTGTGGTTTGGCTGTTTCTGGAAGTCGGGATCTGTTTGACTAGTCATATTGTTTTTATCTTTACATTCACCTTCATTACTTTTAGGTGAAAGACCCTCTTCATCATTTTTACTCTTATCAAATTGGTGTGCCCTGCCACTCCAAATCTTTGCTCTCTCCTTGTCATAAATCTTTTGCACCAAAAACGGAAACATATTCCATAGTAGCTTTGGTAGAGAAAAACTGTGGCCGGATTGCAATCATATTTGGAATCTGAGTTGGGAGACATGCCAGGCTTCACAACAAGCTTTGTTGGCTGCCACTCAAGAGACCCTGGCCAAGGTTGTGGAAGCCTTAGTCACATTAAACAATAATAAAGACGTTGCATCTGCCAACTTTTCTGCTCTGGTTCCAGCTGCTGCAGAGACACATATTTCTCATGCTCATTTTTTGTCGGTTTGTGTAAAACTAGAATTGTTTTTCAACGTTGCAATGATCAATCTTGTTTTTCATTGCATAATGTGAATATGGCTTATTAATATACAAGGAAAAGGTTCTATTGCACTGGTTTGTAATGTGTACACAACAAGAGAATGTTTGTTCCTTCTTTGTACAATCCTAAGTGGCATCATGAGTGAATCACTATATCAACATTATATCACATTTATATTGAGCTGGCTTAAGGGAAAGTCTGATTAAACAATTGCACCTCTTGTGCTTCCTAAACTTGTTTACCATCTGATATGCATTGTTTTATCTTGGTGGGTGTCCAGGAAGATATAGATACTATTGATAGAATGATTGCTGATGGCGAGGGGCAGTACAATAAGTGGCGACACCCTGATCCTTACATTGGTAAGTTGCATTAGAATGTAATTTTTTTCTTCTGTATTGAACCTAATTTATATATGGAACAGTATTTGGTAAATACAACGTAACAGATAAAGGATAGAATAAGACCTAGTGTCTATTTGTGCATTTCTGGGAGGGCACAAGTCTCCTTTTCCCCCCTACAAATGTTAATATGCTGAATGTAAGAATTGCCTATTGGCCGACCCATTTTGGTGAATTATAAAGAATGATTTTTGCATCTAATACAGAGATTTGAGGCAGGTAGTTTTATTGTTGTTTTTTCCTTTACGTAATAGAATAGCCTACTTTTGTGTACTCTCTCTATCAGGATGGTTATTCTACCAGAGTTCACTGTATGAGTGAGAAGCTAAGATTTGTGCATTAAAAATCCATCATGAATTATGCTACCCCGTGACACCTCTCTCCCCAGCCGCACTAAAATTCTTGTGAGTCTATCGAGTCTGAACATGCAACAAAGTTGTAAATGATGAATTGCTTGTGTTTTTCTGTTGTGGTTACCACTTTACAATGTTTTTGTGTACCTCCATTAACAGTTCCATGGGCTCCTGGCGGCAGCAAGTTTACTCGCAATCCTACACCACCTTCTGGGGTAATCTTCTACTTCTTTCATTAGCACACCATTCAAACTAGTGTAGGGATTTCATATCCCCTACTCATATGAACCTCCTGTTGGGTAATTATGAATTCGTAAATGCTGAGTGTGAATCTTGTTTTCATAGTGCTTTAGCCTTTAGTTAACCATCATTTATTCTGAAGCTGTAAGTTTCATGTCCCTAGAACGTTTTTTACGTGGAAAAGTGTACAAAAAGGCTTTGTTTATGATGATTAAACTTTTCTAGTGGTGCTGGTTGCTAATATAATGCTAGATCTGTTGTATCTAGAGTGTTACACATATCTAGCCTTTTCCCATCCTTAAAAAATTGCAACTATGAATATGTATGAGTCTGCATATATACTGATTTTTGTTAAGATTCAAGACACAAAACAGAGAGATCTTCTGTATATCAGTTAAAATTGCAGAGGAAACATGTAGTTCTCTTTTTCAGGTTGATTACCAAAATAAAGTGATGTACACAACTTACCGCCCACAAATTTGAGAAACCTAAGATACGTTTGTTGCCCAGTAAAAAAATTATGGTGTTGGATTTTTACATGGTATGCTGGATTGTGCAAATGGAATGCCAACCATGTATATCTACTTAAGATGGTGGATTAAAACGAAGTAAACATGAAACAAATTGATTGGCATCATCAACTTTTAAGTGACTTCAAAGAACCCTAATTCTATCAAATATGCCCAGCTTCCTCTCTAGAAACGAAAAAAATGGTATTTAATTGGTTCAGCATTGTAACATCCAGTCATTGCTAGGTTGTTATCATATCTTGTGAGTTTTCAGTAGTACATAAGAGGACTGGTAACAGCATTGATAAGAAAATATTTAGCAGAAAATGGATACGATCGGAAACTGGCAAAAATCGTTGTTACCATGTACAGGTGGCTTCATAATCAAATGTATATGCCTTTGTGCTTAAGCTCTTCATTTTCTGGTTGATGCAGATTGAGATAGTTTACGATTATGGTCGAGAGGATCAAAGCTGAAAGTAATATGGGCTCCATGGCAATAAATCAAGGTTAGAACCAAACTGATCATGCCATATAAGAACCATTCTCTTGGTACTAAAAACTTTATCTCCAAAAGCAAAATGCTTATATGATTTGTTTCATGAAATTTGTTCATGGAACATGGTGCTACTTGGTTCCTCTGCATAAGCTACCTTACTTTTTGACCACATTGAAAAAGATCGGTTTAGTAAGCCATAAGATAGCTTTTTAAAAAGCTACTTCAGATCGCCTTTCAATAAGCTCGAAGGGTTTTTTTCACTTTTTTTCTAATTAAGCCCCCTTATATTTTAGAATTTTGCAATTTTTCGACATGTTATTTTACATTGTCATCTAGCTTATCAATTTTACATTGTCATCTAGCTTATCAACTAGTTTTTACTGAACAAGACTGGTTTATGAACTAGCTTACTAGGTTAGTTTTTCAAACATAGCCTAATCTCCATAACAATTATGGATATATTCTGAGGCGAAAGATCGTGTGAGAAGAGAAGTTTTAGTGAGAAGCGTAAGAAGAGAGCTGAACCCTTGATCACTTTTATTTTCATGCCCTCCCATGAATTGCACTTTAAAAAGGAATTGATCCGGTGCATCTCAAACACACCCATGAATCACGTTTGATATGGGGATTGTTTTGATGCATCTCATCTTGGTGCATCCAAAAGGTAAAGATCTTTTCTTGCGTTTCTCACCATAACTCAACCTATATATGTATATAATTCTAAATATTTATATGAACCACTATTTTTGGACCTTTATAGCACAGCTTTTACCACCGCAATAACTGCGATTTCAAATTACAATCCAGACTGTGATTTGGTGTTTTGACCACTGTACCCTTTCACGTACAGCCTCTTTTCCTGCTACACTGTACTCAGGGTTCCAAACCTCCAGTGAGTGAACGATTATGTCATCGAGGTTTTCCTGGTCAAGGTAAGGCTTTGAGTTATCCATTTAAGTGCGGAACAAGACCTGAATTAGGATGATATTCATAGATTGGTTACTCTTTGTGTACGTTATGGAGTCTCCACTCCATGTTGAATGCTCTTTCAAATAGCATGAGCGTTGAAAGTCTTCAATTAGACTAGAGCGTTAGATTTTTTTTTTTTTTTTTTACTTCTTTCAAAGGGGAATGAATGGAATGAAGAAAAGAAGAGAGGAGGAAAGTGGTTCACTGGAGTTTGTCTAATAGACAGATAATATTATAAATTTTCCCACACTACCCCCTTATTCTAATAGATTGCTCTTAGTACCTTGTATTACTTCCTGGGCCTTCTATAATATGTGTGAACCTGATTGGGGGACCATCCAAAAATTCCCTTTTCGTTTGCACATTTTGACGCTAAAACAAATTCTTATTTTGTGTAACGTATTTTCTAAACCTTCGTTTTGGTATCTTAGATGTGAAATCTACATTTGAGAATGCAAGAAAATGAAACGTTGTTATTTTATTTTATTTTTAATTTTTTGTTATTTGTTGGCAGGCCAGGTGGGTCGAGTAGGAAGTGTTTTGATACGTCAGCAATGGCGGTACACCTCTTTAATTGAATGTGCTTTTTATAGCATGAGAACCCTCTCCTTTTGTCCATTGACCTTTCCTTTTGATGGAACATTTCTTTTCATGCAAATATGTTTGTTATCGTTATTGCTAATAAACTGATTGTTTCTGTAATTCATGCGTACCTATTTACGTCAAAGTAAGGGATGTTTTTTAGAACTCGAAACACTCTTAGGGGTTGTTTGTTTACCTTTTAATAGTTCAATTAAGAGGCAACATCTGAATCGTTAAGAGGTGAATCTTGTTTGACAAAAAAACAAGTCTGCCTCTTAATGATTCTAAAACCCTCTGAATGATTTTGTATCCTAGATCTCCCTTAACCATTAAGAGCCTTAATTTTATTTTACACTATATTATGAGTCTTTTAATCATTTTGACCATTTGATCATTCTGCATCAAATCATCTAGCAATTGCCAAACAACCTCTTAATACCCCTACATCTTGACACAAGGGGTTGAAGAATCATTTTAAACGGCACCAAGGGGCTCTTTTGGTTCAAATAAGGGAATGAAAACGAGAATGGATTTTCATTCCCAGTTAAAATGAAAATTTGGGTTTATAGGAAATGGGCCGGTTATATTATGTAAAATACTGCATAATATCTAGAATTAATGGTCTTTTTCTAACAGGGTTGGGGACCGGGGTGTTAAAAGAATACAAGCAACATGGCGGTTTTATTTATAACGTTAAAACATGTAAGCTACAATGACCAAATGTGTTAGCTCATTAATAACAATAAACATGTTTGTCTTATTGCATTTATTATCATTGCACTATAAATACAAGTGTATACTATCGTTTACACAATAGAGTTTTGCCTTTCTACACGCTGGAATCCTTTTACAATTCCTTCTAATTCTTGCGTTGTTGGCCTCGAATTGCATATGACAGTGCTCGGAGGGTTTAACCTTCAACTCCGATTTCCCCCTTTTCCCCTCTCCTAAACATCAAAAGCAAAATGGGTTTTAGGTCACAAATATTTATTGAACAATTTGTGAATCTTTACTCTACATGCACTAAATTAAAACACGCAACTAATTTAAACAAGTTTTTGTCTGACAAAGTTTCAATCGAAAACACAAAACATATAGAAGTTGAAAGGTTGGGTAGCTCTTATGGAAATGTTCTTCCAATTCTTGGACTCTCGAACATGGGAAGGGTTTTGATAGTGAATCTATTAACTAAGAGTAAATATTTTGTAAATATTCCGTCAATATATGGTTTGTATAGGTTTCCTATATTTTGCATACCTTGTACTCTATATATTTGAGGTGATGGAATGATCAAAGGCATCAGACTCTTTCCCTAATCTAACATAGTATTAGAGCCTATGCTACAACCTCTGTGATTTCTTCAGCTCCAACAATCTCCCTTTCCCCAATCGATGCTCTGAGCATCGCTGCAGGTATTTATAGCCACATAATATTAAAAATATAGTTATTCATGAAAATAAATTGATTGGACAAGAAAAGTGTTGGAGGGTCCTCAATCCGACCCAACTCTTTGACTTCAACGAACTTATTCGTGCCATTAGGTGCAAATATACTCGTCACTTTTTGTATGGATCAGGGTTCACCTAGACACGTCTTTTTCATTTAACTAGTATTTTAATAAACGTACTTTACAAAATACATGTTTAAGTGATAGAACATCTATGTTGAGAAACATATATTTCAAAAAGATATACTCTTACCTTCAAACTATATATATATATATATATATATATATATCTTTTGAAAGGGGTATCCCAAAAATGTCCATAATACATAAAGATAGTGAAAGAATGACCAACTTCTTTTTTCTTACTTTCATGTATGTATTCTAGTAATTTAAGAGATTACCCCTGTAAATAAAAGGATATCTTGTTAGACTCAATTTGTACTTTAGGAAAATAAGTGTTAATAAAAGCATTTTGCCATATTCCATCTTATCTACCTATCAAGAATCAGAATCCTACAAAACCCAAATCTGGCAAGAGACCAAAGGCTGTCAAAACCACCACCACCACTTCTTGAAATATTCAGGTAACCATGGATGATAGGCCGGGGGACCACAAATAGCTTCAACTCATTGTAGGCGAACCTCCTCTATGGCCTAAAGGGTTTTGACAACGTCTACATTTCAGCCTACATCTCCATCTTTTGAGCTTTAACGGATGTCTATTCTTAGGATGCATGCTAGGCAAACATAAAATGAACGCGTTTTGGCCACTCTTTTCCCTTAAAAGTAGTACCCAAAATTTGACTCTAATATGTTGGGCAGTGGGGTATAGATAATGACATATAGGGAGGGGATTTCTTCACAGCCAACAAACCACCAGAAGGTTATAGAATAAACTTAACTTTACCTAAAGGACATAGCCAATAAGATACCCGACACATAACTCATCACAACCACATGTATGCAAATGGGAATTGGGAATCACAGGTTGCTTTCTGCGTATCAAAATGGCCAACATGCACATGGGATAGCCATTGCATATTAGGATAAGAGGAAGCAAAAGATTCATATACTTGAACAAGATCACAAGGGTACGTTTGTTTGGTAAGCGTATGATTGAACATGAATGAAAATCTGAGGTGAGATAGTGGCGTGAAGAATTGTGTAAGGTTTTAGGTTTTTAATTTGATACGAGTAGTAATTTATCAATAATTCCATCTTAATTATTTGGTGGGACAAAATAAAAATGGATTTTTGTTTCCTATCTCAATGTTCCACAAACGTGGGACAACAAGTTTTTGTTCATTCATGTTACGCACCTCAAGTGAACCAAGAATTTTATGCTAACGGTAAATACAAGTAAACATACCTTTTTCATCTGATTAGAGTCGTGCATGAGGCAAATCGTTCGAATCAAATGTAAAATCTGACCATTTGAGTAGCATTTAACCGAGACTAGCTGAATGCTGATGCATACAATATTAGCTCTGCAAGCAAGAATTCATAAGAACCCGTTGGATGTGATTTAAAAACATGCAACTATAAACAAAAAAATGGCAATCATGTATGACTAAAGAAAGAAGAAACACACAAGTTTTTGAACCAAAGAGATTACCATAGAGAGAATAGACTACAACGTGAAGGAAGAGCCGGGGAATGTTACATAACAAGAGGATTCGGCTAATAACGATTCCCCGGCTCTATCTTTACAAATTTATCAAAAAAAGATCACCTGCTCTCTTTATATCTTGTTCACAGGAAAACAGAGAGCAGAACCAAATTAAAGACAACTACTTATACTTCAACTAAAGAACAAAAAGGAAATAAAGATTGCAGAACAGAACGACCTCAGTGACAAACACCCAAACCAAACCAAAGAAAGATTGGGTTTTCTCAAGCACAGACATAGGACCACTGATCATCCTCACTGGCAACTTCATCAGCTCCGGCAGTGAAATCCTCATCAGAACAGTAATAGTATCCGTTATTGCCATTTGCAGCAGTTAGACAGCAAGAAGACCCTATAGTCAGATAAGGCATGTTGTGGAAAGACTGTGCGATTCCACCAGCGACCGTGGCTCCACCCATATTGTCTTCGTCATGAACATACTCTTCAATCCTGTGCTTAAGGGTCTCAAACATGATCTCTGGCTCATGGTGCATTGAACGGAGAACGTCACTGCAGGATGGGCC